GTGGCGGGGGTGGGGGGGATGACATACACGTATATAATATGTAGCTTCTATGTTGGTGACCTACACATATATGTGTCAGCACGTCTGTCTCACACAGGATACGTGATCTACCCGGCCCTGGGGAATCCTATACCCGACCTCTAGAGGTGCTGGCATGCCTTCTCCTTTGCCCCTTCCCCCCTCTCTATCTATAATTCTCTCTCTCTCTCTCTCTCTCTCTCTCTCTCTCTCTCTCTCTCTCTCTCTCTCTCTCTCTCTCTCTCTCTCTCTCTCCGCTGATGTTCGAAAGGTGCGTATTTGTCGACCAGTCTGTCCCACACATGCCCTCAGCTGGGAGGTAAGGAGCCATGATACTGCCTACCACTACCAGCAGTCGGTGCGATCCTCTATGACATAGCATAGAAAATAGGCTGGTCACTTCGGTAGATTTCGTTTTTGGAAGAATTTGACGGCGGCGCTTCCAACTCAAACATGTCATTATTATAAAATGCCAAAGAATTGAGGTGTTACTGGTGGTAATATAGATCTACATACAAAGAAAAAAAACCCAGGAGAAATAAGGACAATACGTGTTTGATAGAAAAGAAGGAGCAAACCACAACACAACGCCCACCGAACACCCATTGTCGGTAGAATGGAAGATAACAGAATCAGATGGACAATGTAATACACTGAAAGGAGACAAAGATTAAAAACCCGAAAACGATCAAGACGAAGACTAAAAAGAAGGCAAAAAATTGCCCCAAAGAGCGGACAAAAACAGCCTAGATATAATACAATTGCCGAAAGAACAGAATGGAGGTCATTGTTGGAGGGCTACATCCCGCAGTGGCCGGACAACGCCTAGGTTCAATGTTCAAAGTTCAAGAACAAAGGGTCATGGTTATGATTACTAGAGCTGGGCGAAGAATCTAGTCGTGAACCGATTCCCAAGACTAATGCTACGAAAGAAAAGTTCCGACTCCTTTTTACGTAAACAAGCCCTTGCCTGTTACTTTAATCAGTAAAATCTTCTTTTTTTTATTTTTAGAATTTATTTTGGAAAAATAAAAATTGATGCTTCGTTGTGTTCCGAAATCAAGGTTATCCTAAATCCTGAAGATGTTCGGAGCTACCAGGTAACCACAGGAAGAAATCCCATCATTGGAAAGTAAGTAATTGGGTTCGGAGTCGATTCCTACGATTCCAAACTTCCAATAACCGGGAACCTCGCCGCCCAGCACTACGATTACACTATCGGTCCACCCTTCGGGACATTGCCCCTCGCCGGCGTCACTGGTGTAGAATTTTTTACCTGGCACCTACACGTTCAGAGCACGTAATAATCTAGTATTACTAGATCTAGAGTGTATAACCTGGCACACGTACGTTCGCTTTCCATATTTTATTTTTCTCCCTATGGTTTCCGTCTTTCTGTTTGGGAAAGTGTCCCACACCGCACAGGTTG